GATCCTGGATTTCTTTTTGATCAACTCTGAATTTGATTTGATTTAGAAATCAATTATACAAAGTACATGAATATTTTAAAATGAAATGCTAATTTTCATCTTAAAAGAACAAAGCAAAACAATGAATAAAAATCTAGGAACTGCCTCAGCCAGTGATTTTGGAAGTTCTGAAAGGCAGTGAATGGTTATTATTGAATATATTTTTCTTGCTTTTTAATTACCATCAAGGGGGTATCCTTCTGAGATGACAATATATCTTTATGGCAACTATGCACATTTGCCAATGAGGAGAGATGATAGAAATCCCACCGTTTTCCCTAGCAACGAAATATTTACTTCAATACCCAAAGATTTTTGCATGCAAAATTGTTTTCTTTTGTTCTCTAACAAACAACAAACTCCCACATTGTACCACAGACTTTAAACTAGTAACTTAATGTGAAATTCACAATAAATTAGTTAATTCATTGAAAATAGAAAAAGGAGAGTGTTTGAAAAAATTGAAAGACTTGTTTAGGTCCTAGTTAGCATTTTTAATGTTTTTTTTATAGTGACATGTCATTTTTAGTTTTCATTTAGTTTTCATGTAAATGATATGATCATTTAATGCATTTTATTCCAGTAATGCTCTCCTTTCAATAACCTCTATTCTTTGTCATGATAACATTTTTTATATCTGCCTCTTTCAATACAATATACTTTTTTCTCTGAAACCACAGTTCCTTTATCTTTAGCAATAAAAAAACAAATTAGACAATTTGTTTTCAATTGTATTTGAAAACTTACTCTAAAAGGCGTAATCTTTCAATAAAATGTTAATACTCGGCAATTTCCTTTAAGTGTGCAACAGTAATAGTGAAGGAGCTAAAATCAAGTAATATGGTATTACATTAGATGCAACTGAATTATTTTTTAACATACAATAAAATAACCAATGTAGATTCTTGCACCCCCTCCAATTCATACTCTCTAGTGAAAAAGCTATCACACTTCTTAAAACTGTCTAGATTACTATTCCACTATTAATTTTTTTCTTGCTCTTCAGATGAAATTTTTGAAAAATTACATGAACAGAGCAAGGAGAAAAAGTATTAGCAATGCTCTTCTGAATGCTCTTAACTGTAAAACAAGGGTAATATTTCTGTTCTAGTGGTTATGTTCTTTTTTACATCTGTTTCCATAGTCTCATTTAAAAAGCCAAGGATTATTCAAAAGGACCTACTTAAGAATGGAGGTGGGAAGTGATGGAAATGACATGCTGGGTTTGAAATAGGAAACTTATTCTTAGCAACTCACCACTAACTTAAGGAATATTTGGAGATAATTTAGACAAATCTAGAGAGGCAAATTAAGTGAAAACAATACAATATCTTGGCCACCAGTCAAAGCCCTATGATCCTCATATGATTTTTAACTTTCTGAGAAAGATTTTGTCAAAACCTACAGTACCATTTTCGCACATTAGCTTGAAAATGCATCCTTTTGATTTTAGAGAAGTTTGCTTTCACATTCCTTTACAATGACCAACAGAAAGGGTGTGAACATACGTATTGAAATGTCTATATGCATTAGAATTATATAAATCCTGGTCCAAATGCCAAAGCCTCTGAGCAATCCAGAAGATTATGACGATCCAGAAGTTGACCAAATTGATCCTTTGAAAGATCAACCCAGACTTGTCTCAATGTACTTAATAAATCTTCAGCAAAGATTAAACTACAGGCTAGCAGATGATATGAATCCACGTATTGTGCCTTAGTATTAACACAACTTTTCACAAGACGAAGCAAACAAGAATATATTTTCCCATCCTGTGAGATCTGGATTGCCTTTAAACTCCTGCTTTAGTTTCTTTCGTTAGAAGATTGATGGACAGGGCAGAGCAGTATATTCACCTATGACTCTCACATCTTTTCATCCTCGAAGGCTTAAACACAACAAGATGTGATCCATTCAAGAATCATTCTGTGATTATTGGAGTCTTGAAAGAAAAATAGCAAGCCCCAGCACTTTTAATAAACTAGAGAACGAATAAAGCTGAAATCAGGTACTTGGAAAGCAAGATAGTATATGTTCTAGCCCTTCCTTAGGCATGAACACCAGCGGGGTAACTTTAAGCCAGTCACTTTCTTTGAGCCCAACTAATCTCATGGGGTGGTGGTTATGGAGAAAATAGGAGGCAGAAGGAATATTAGGTATGTTCACCACCCAGAATTAATAAAGGTGGGATTAAACAAATCTTTAAAATAAATAGAGATACTTCTAGCAAAATGCAATCATGTAACTTCAAAGGATGTATATGCAGCCATCAGAACTTCATTTTTTTTTTGTTAAGTATCTTTTTGAGAGGACAGATGTAACTTCAATTGCTAAGCAACCAGTTATTAAACAAGGATTGCTGTTTTGGAATGTGCTTTCCAGAAGCACATAGTCATTCCTTCTAGTTGCAGCAGTTAGATAGAATATATTATTATTATACAATTGTATCACAGTGTCCAGTTGTTTCGCCGGATTTGGCATTGGTTACTAGTCGGGCCCCACCCAGGGGCGTAGGACGTCATAACGTATTTTCGTAATATGCGTGCAGATCCAAGCAGTGCGGCTTTTTGCATTTGACTGATGGTGAT